AAGCTAAAAGGGTTGCATAGAAGGCATCATAATCAGAAAAGGCATTATCTATAGAATACCAAAAGGAAACTGAAACAATGAAAGAAATAGATCACCGCGACTCCCGAATATCCTTTTATCAACTCCCTTAGAGTGGCTATGACAGTGTTTGAGCCAGAGCACTTCTAGACTAAATTGGATCCCAGAAATCGTTTAGTTGTTGTAGAATGCGTGCTGTTATATTGCTAATTCGCTATCTATTTAATTGTTCCAATAACAAATTTCTTTAAGTTATCATGGATCCCAAGAAACACATGTTCTGGGCAGCCAAAATTGCATTATCATAGTCTCCAGAAAATTTCAGGAATTAATGTATCCATGAAAAAAACTTGGCAAGAGCTGACTAACCTTTACATTGTCCATTTAAACAACTTCCACATATAACATTTACCTGAAATTAGAATCTGATTGTCCATGAGAAGCCATAAATTCAAATACATAGTTTGAGGGATTGAGAGATTGTTCCAATACAAAAACCAACCTGCGCAGTCCTCCCCAATTTGTCATAACTCTGCTCACAAGAAGTCAGGTCGCCATTGTAATAATCCTGACGGGTGGAAATTGGAACGATTGTGATGTCAAGGTCCATAACACATAAAAAGTTATAAGAAGTTCTTTTTCTTTTCTTTTCTTTTCAATAAGAAACGGAAAATTTTATTGATAAAATAGGGACCATACACCAAGGGAGATCACGAGTCTCCCAGACATAAGGGTCATGCAATCATTTCCAGCAATAATTCTTCTTCATCATCAACATCATTAAAAAAGAAAATTGTTAAATTTTAAGTTCGGTCCGTAAACTTTCATATTCGTATCTATTCAGTCCATGTACCTTAAAAATGTTCTAATAGGTTATTGACCTTTCAAAAATCTATCATTTAATCTCTATACTTTAAAAGTATTTTAATAGGCGCGTAAACTTTCAATTTGTGTCTAATAGATCCTTACCATTAACTTCATCAGTTTAACACTTACCAATCAGTTTAACACTTACCAAACACCATGACTATATTGTTTAAGGATTACATAATGGGCTAATTTGAAGTTGTTTCAAGCATTTTATGGCATAGACATGGATGTTAAGGACAAAGCTAATGATGTGGATCTATTAGACATAAAGTGAAAGTTTAGAGGCCTACTGAAACTAATAGACATAACCAACCACCACAATAGTTCAGACTCGTAATCAAATTTATCCAAAAAAAAAATATATTTTAAGAGATGTTTTTACACATTCTTCAGTACGAAGGCAATATGTCCAGCCCTTCTCTCCCATTATCCCTCGTTCATTTGACAATACATTCGTCTATTTCACTAACCTCAACTTGCTTGAGTTAGACAGAGAGCATTTACGTAATTGGGATAACTACCGTTATCATCAAGTGAGAGAAAAAGCCTAAAGATGAAGATCCATTTACATTAAAAACATAGCTTACTTGAACAAAGTTGGCATGTCCTGAACCAGTGACAAAGTAGTTGAATTTTTCAAATCGACCAAAATCTACATATCCCTGTATACAGGAACAGGTGAATTAGATTTGAATGAGATTGCCCAATCTTTCGAGAACAATGAAGAGAACGAGGAAAGTATAAATTTTCCAGAGACCAAGCATAGCTTGAACGGATCTCAGAGGTAATAAAATAGTGGGCATGAAATAGCCTTTAGACCTTGGCTCACCACAGTAATGTACTCACGACTAACATATTAAGAATTAATTTTTTACAGGCCCAAATTGTCCTTTCAAAATAATATTTATAAGAAGAAAAAAAGAAAAAGAATTCCAACTAACAACCTTTGGTTACTTTCCAAAATAAAATTATATTAGTCCTTTCAGAGCTAATTCCGTTGAGAACTTGCAACCAAGTAATAAAGGGCACAAATTATTTCAAAACTCTTTAACCACTGCATGCATAAAGAATGAATGAAATCAATTCTACTCTTCTCAGTCAATTTTGATGATTCTGTGAGAATGGTTAGCCTAAAATGAGCGGAGAGCAACTTCCTTTGGGCTGAAGAAAATTATACATAAAATATACTCATTTTCAATAACTCCTACACTCTATGACCCAAGTCTTAAAGCCTTCATAGATGAAACTCCAATAGTAGGTAGATCTAGAGTAAAAAATGAAATGTGAATGTAAATCTTTCTTCATCAAATAAGGCACTAAGAAGCTGCATGTAAATAGCTCAAAAAACATATATTCAAAGTAAATCAAAGGTCATGGTAAAGCAATCTAGCAGAGATATATTACCGATTGCGATCTTCTTTCCACATCTTTGCAAAATCGAACCACCAAGTCAGAATCCTATATCAAGACATGCCTGACTCAATACTGCCTGAGTTCATGTATTTATAGATGGAATTCTTAAAATATAATAAAATGTCTCAAGTTTCATTATTTAAGTTAAAAAAGAATATCACCTTCCCATCATATTCAAATAGTTGTCCTATCCAGCTACTCTAATTGTCGAGTTAAGTAAAGTTAAAAACATCATGACACCAGAAGCATAATTGAGAAACAAGCAAATAAAATTTAAAGGGGAAGTTAATTTCAGTTCTGATTGAGCCAGCTAAAACAGAAAGTTTCATATGACAAATGAAGATGCTATCATAGTGTCCACCAACATTAACAACTATATGAAGAAAATTCAACTTAAAGACACAAGAAACTAAGGAAAAGGTTTTCTAAAATGAGGAAAGTTAACGAAAGATCAATCTAGACTTAATTGTCTTACGCATGCAAATTGCTTTCTCATCTCCCACTTAACTGTGAATTTGGTAATTCATATAACCAAACCTAGGTCCTTGTAAATTAAAATATAGACCATACTATGTAGGATACAAAGTCAACAATGTGACTAGAATTGTCAAAAACATAGCAACTGGAACTTGGCACTGCAATTGCGTTCATTTCAACAGCCTGTAAAAGGACACCTGAAACAAACAAAAGGTTTTATAATAGAAAAAAAAAATACAACATTTACAAAAGGAACAGAATAAAATGAATGAAGCAAGCTTACTAATTACTGCAGTGAAGAGCAATAAATGAAAAGAACAAACACCAATATGATATCTTGAACTCATACTTCTATCTTGCCTTAAACGTTTTTAACATGTCCTGCAGACTGCAAATTAAGTTAAGCTTAACAGTTGAGACATCGTGACCAATCAATAAATAAATCAAGGTAAATAACTGAATAGTGGTTATTGGTTAATACCCAATACAAGATACTATGCCTATTGCTGCCATACAACCAGAATCTCGAGTTAAACAATCGTCAAGTCGGTGTGATCGTTAATTAAGAGAGAGAGACAGGCCGGCGGGGAGATTTTAATATCAGTAACCGCTAGCGTGTTAAAATTATCCGGGAGAAAACCATATGTACAAGTACAAGATTCGAAAAGGCAAGTAGAACTGAAAAAAAAAATACCCAATTCAAGGAACGAACCCTAACAACATCAATAAGAACTAATATTCAATACCGCATTTGCTGCGTACGGATTGGTTTCAGTTCCAACGCGCGAAAGTGGAATGTTTAATTATGTTCTTAGTCCAAGCTGAATTCGAGCCTCCAAACTACTTCCGTAAATGATGATCGAGAAAAAAGCGAAATGAATTACCTGAAACCTTCAAGTGAATAGCTCCTTTTCGTTGCCCAGCACTGAATCAAACGACTAAATTTCGAGAGCTACGGGATGAATACGCGAAAACCTGCGATTATGGGTGATGTCCGGCCACAACACCAGAAACGCGGGCATGCCCGGCAATTAAATTCAATTAGCAAAATGGTAGAATTTCGGTAATGTAAGACAAAAAATTATACATTTTAAATTTTGTTGGATGATATATTGTAGTAAACTGGTATTATTATTATTATTATTATTATTATTATTATTATTATTTATATAAAAAAAAGTGAAATTGTGAAAGGTTTATATGTTAATTTAAATATTTGCTTTGGTTATTTTTATAACTTTTCTAGAAATATCCATTAAACATCAATATTTTATTGAATTTTCATCAACATTTCTAAGAAGTTTAGATTTATATTTTCATCCATTTAAAACTTTAATATTAAATAAACATATATACTCTACATTAATTATTTTTTATTCTACAGAAACACTAAGTAATAAGAATATCTATTGTTGGTCAATTTTATCCTATAGAATTTAGGACTTTTATGTACACACACAAATGTTTTATCTTAGTAAAATAATTAAATTATCCCACTTTAATGTTTTATCTTATCCCTCTTATTTATTTTAATATTTTATTAAATCTTTTTTTTTCTCTATCACATTCTTTTGTCTTATAAAATACGGTAACATTTCTGATTTCTCACATAAAATTATCATATATCTCAAAGTCAATAAGAGTACAATTATAAATTTTAATGATCTTGTCCGTTCTAACTTCTAGGTAACAAGAAAGGTCTCCTTCTTATCAATGAAAGAAGAATATTGATAACAAAAGCTTCTCTTCAACGAAAAGACTTTCTTGTTACGTTACCCATAACATATTTCCATGTCATCCACAAGATTTTTCATCATCTCATAATAATCATAAGATACTTGTCTCCCATGTGAGGGTGACTTGATGAGGAAAAAAAAGGTTAAGAAATCAAATTTGATTTTGAACTGTAGAGTAGAATATATTTTGCAAGTCGAAGATATTAGATATGAGGGAAAAAAAATGAATAAGAGCAAGACTTATGGTGAGAGAATAATTAAGACATTTTACTAGGTTAACCAGTGAGAAGGATATTACCAAATGAGGAGGAATTCAACTTTAATCTTCCAATAAAAATGCATGATTTCTGTAAACCTCTTAAATTTACGTGTAACTAATTAACAATTTAATCTTAAATGATGATCTGAGATTCTCAGGTTTATGAAGCAACAGCTCTCTCCTGCACCATTCAAAGCTCTAATTCTTCATATCACAATGACAAACCCAATAACATGGCATCTTCAAGGAGTTTAAAAGCTAAGAAAAAGAAAGATAACAAAAAAATAAATCATAGCGAAACTTGCTGGCAACTCATGATCCGCAAACTCCTTGGCATGAAATGATGTCAAAACTAAGTGAAGAGCAATCCATGGAGGAAAAGAAGAAATCAAAGAAAGAACTAAAACATCCTAAAACAAATCAAAAACCCTGAGTACTTAATACAGAGATAAGCAAAGGGACAAGCCTCAAGGCCTACATCAACCTTAAAATATTAAAGGTTTAGATGTTCATGCATAATTAGTTGAAATCCCCTAATACATGTGACTTGTGTGGGAGCTTTCCGAACAAGCTCGCTCCAATCAAACTGATATGTGGACATTAAATATCAAGTATCTTACAGTCGAGTCGAGCACCTTGACGACTAATGCCAGAACCAAGCAGAGAGCCAAATAAACAGAACATGAAATATGCCTGGGAGACATGCTAGAGTTAACTGCATATATAAAGTAACATACTCCACATGCTTCATCCTATATCTGATAAGCCAGCAGCATTAATAAGGTTCCCATCGATGTACGGTCTGGCTTGCTGATAAACAGATATGAGGCTTGACAAATTTGGTTGGTGGCTGTGGCTACTTAAGGTAGCAGAAACATAGTATACAATGATGAGTTCTTCAAAAGCTGCCACTCAGCTTTATCAAGTTATATGTTTGAAAAACTTCACTGATTCATGATCTGAGTGGGAATCCAAAGAAGGTGAGAAAGATAAATGTCACCTCAGGATAGATGTCAAAGTTAAACCATCAAGGGAAGAACATGAAGATGGAAGTGTATCATTTCCTGAAGCTAGGATTTCAACTAATTCCTCTATTTGATGGGCTAACATAAAAACTTCATCCGCTATATCTTTTGTTACCCACTCTTCAAGTTTCCTGCATTTCAAATTTAAACGACGTCAATTTATATAATAAAAACGAAGAAGTACATAATGGGAACAGAATGCAGCTACGACAAATATGTTAAAATCACAAAACCATGTACTGATATAGGAAAGGAAAGGGGGTGCTGGAAACAGGGAAATTTCAGAATAAGAGAGCACCTATGATCTACCGTTGTAATTTGTATACAGGTGTCTAAGGATACTAGATCCTAGTGTAATCACACGAGAAGCAAAGGTAAGAAGACAATTTCTAACCAACCTCAAATGGGACTCCGCACTTTTGCTGCAATCAGAGAATAGCACCTTGATGACAGGACTTAAATCAATCTTTGAAACTGATTCAGCTGTATCCTCCATGCCCAAACAATAACCACTACACGACCAAGAATATGAATTGATGAGAACAATGTGTAGCATGGGAGACTTGGTTTTCAGCTCCTTAACCACAGTGCGAAATGATGATTCGTCATTTGCACTTTCCAGTAGCTGATTTGCAAACATTCTTTCCAAGGTGTACTCCCTGTGCGCATAAGTCAGATAGTCTTGAGCACTCCAAGAGATAAAAATTATCTCAAAGTCACTTATTGTATTATGCAGACATGATTTCCAGAGACTTAACCAAAAGAAAGGCATGACATAGTAATATAATATGCTTACCTCAACAAATTTCCAGATTCAACTGATGAACATGTTGAGACATAACATTTAAAGAGTCGAACTCCACCATCTGTAGGTCCGCAGCGATTACTGCAAGGGTAAGCCCCAATCAGAGTAGAGCACTTGGGGCAAAAAAACTCAACCCACTCAAAATCTGCTGAAAGATTTGACAGTCTAGCCATAAAGATATTTCCAAGAAAACCATTAAGAAAGGATCTCTGATCGTCTGAAAGATCAATAGTATTAATAGGCTTTGGGTCTAACTTATACGTGCTACATGTGTGATGCATGCAGTCTCTGTCAAGATGATTTAATACATTACTTTCACCATGATGACAACAATCAGGAATTGGAGTCATATTAGGTGAATCAACTTCTTCCCTTTCTTTCTCAGTAGCATCACCCTCCATGTTTGCAGCAAGGGTTTTATCATTAGACTGCTTAGGTTTTACCTTCTTCATAGATGTAAGATTACATTGTAATTCCTGCTTAGCTTCCGTTAACCAATTGCCATCAGCAAAATCTGATTCGTCCTTGAATTGCCGGGTCCCATCATAGTCTGGGAACACATGTCCAATAATGTCATCCTTGGAAAGAGTAATAGTTGTTAAAGTGAGTAGGCAGACACCCTTTGCACATCTATAGGAATTTGTATACCTAGTTACCAGCTTCTCGCTTATCCCCCCAAAGGAGCAGCAGCAAGACCCAAACCAGTTATCAGCAACCTCTCGCCAATTGACTGATGGCATCTCAACAAAATTTCTACACATCATATAACAATGTAGAAGTCAAGAATCAAGAATCAAAATCAATGGACTGGTGAAATGCAAATCAACTGCTCTAGAAAATTAGAAATCCTGTCAATGGTATGATTAAACAATTTGCTACCTGAGAGGAGATTCACTCAGCCTGAATGAACAATTTCTGCAATAAAAGTGGACGCCACCAGTGCGTGATAAACTGTTTTGATCTAAGAAAGGCAAGCATTTCAGAAGGGAAAAACATGCAAGTTTAATTGTAAAATAGTAGATGGTAGCACAACGGCCACGGAAACATGAAAATTTTGATCGCTTGCTCTTTAGCATTGCAATTAACTGTTCTTCATATTTGATTATGATCATACATATCAGAGATAGACGAAGAGCAGAAATTTTTAAGTTTCAAACTAAGCACCTTTTGCAAATGGTAATGCATAAATGTTACGGTATTCGCTATAATTTCATACTTAAAAAATATATATATTAGCAGGCAGAAGGGGAAATGCAGCGAGCATCAAAAGAGACAGAACAAATCGATTGAAATTGAAGCGCACCAGAGTCCATCAAAAGCGGCTTCGACGCCTTGGAGTACTTATTTCCTCGCTCTTCGGAGGAGTTCAGCACATTGTCGAAGTTGAGAACAATTGGGTGATCGACCGGAAGAAGCAAGAAGAGCTTGACTTCGATATGATCTTCGAAAGCTCTAAAACTCAAGGGCGACTCAGAGTCGACCAAAACCGGAGGAATAGGAACTCGAATCGACACTTCGAGGTCTTGGAGCCAAGTGGCGCAAACGACGGACTGCGGGAGATTGAGATGAACCTTGAGATTCTGACATTGGAGAGAAGGATTGGTATGGGAATCGAATAGCAACAGACGTAGGGTTGGTATGTGGGATTGCGCTTCCCATGTAAAACGCCATTTTCTAGGGCTTTTCACTGTATCGAATTCAGATGACATTCTTCGATTTCACGAGCACCACTGCACTTTCCAGTTACCCGCTTAAGTTGATGCTTGAAATAAAAATTTCCTCCAGAAAGGAACAAATAGATAAATAAATATTTTTCTGCCCTCGCAATAGTGTTTGGTGAACGCACTAAACGATCCACATTTTGATGAAAAAAAAAAGAAAAAGAAAAGGGCTTTTACCAATATTCAACGGCTGGGATGTAATTAAACCCTGATTAAAAAAAAAAATTTGGAAGAAACCTTGATTAAATTACCAAAAACCTAAAATTTAAACAATTTATAATATTGCATTCATTTTTTTGGGATAGTTAGGTTAGGTATATTGTTGGTGAGAAATTGGTCCGCGCCTTCTTGATGGCTTCGAATGCAAATATACAAAATTGGAGGTGACCGCGTCTATTTATATAGTTTTAGTCAGTGTTATCGAACGGAAAAAATTATATTAAAAAATTTCATAGACTCATTGACTATATAGTATATACATAAGATATAAAATTAATATGCACCTCCTCAATTTGAAGCTCCGTGGAAATGAATGACATTGAATCCAAGAGCATAATGGCTAAAAAAAGACATGTACAATTTGATTTATAACTAGTTTTAAATATACTTTTAAAATAATGGTGTGGTATTTAATAAATGTCCGACATTACATTTAGAGAAATAAAATCTCATTTTAGCTCTCAACTTTCAAATTCAATAACTTAAGTCTCTAAATATTTAAATAAATTTTTTTCTTTTTTTAGTACAGCAATGTGGGGATGGGAGATTGAACTTCCGACCTCCAAAAATAAATAAAGTGTCCTAGTCGTTGAGCAAAACTTAAGTTGAACTTTAGATTTATTTTATTTTAGACTTGAAACTCTTCAAATTTCAATTTTATAGTCCCTCAACTTATGAAAAAACTGTATTTTTATTTTTAGTTTTATTTTTCTTTAATTTTATAGAATTAACAATGAAATTTCAGAATATATTTATTTATATATATTGAAGCATATAAATTGATTGAGACAAAAATTAGGCCACAAATATTAAATGATTAAATAATGACAAACCTTGAACATAGCACCATGGGTGTGAGTCATGAATTCGAATTCTCACTCTAAAAAATAGTTGCATTTAAAAAGTTTAGGTTAGAGGCTAAATTATAGGCATTTCAATATTAAAGGATTAAAATGCGATTCGTTTTAGTACAAAATGTTAGAAAAAGATATATCAATTATCACTGAACTATGTTCACTGTAGTGAATTAAAATGCGATTTTAAACTTACTTAATTTTAATTTATATTTATATTTCACTTTTAAAATGAAATAAAGTAACAACATCGCGTGAAATAAATGTCTTCCTTGACTATACATCAACTCTCGCTATAAGATTGGGAACAGTATAATAAAGTATGCTTTCTATTCTAAGAGACCATAAAAATCTATAGTTAAAAAAAAAAGGAAACCATAAAAATCCAACAAAAATTAACGGCATTCATCTACTTTCTTTTTAGCACAAAAATGGGTAAGAATTCAAAATCCAAAATAATCCAACCTTTTATCTGCAATAAATGTCTTAATCCCTATACTTAAGTTGACCATAATCTTTATTAAATAAAAGCTTACAAGTTAACATAATCCTAAATAACTTTAAATGAACTATTAAACAATCCAATAAGAATTTCAATATACTGATATGTGCCCACACTTAATTATTATAGAATAAAATAGATTAAAGTACTATTATTATTATTTTTTTAATACACCAACTGACCAACACGTGGAATAAGAATTCAAACTCAACAATCATTTAATCGGAGATAGATGTCTTAACCAATTGAATAAACTTTAGGGTGAGAGTTAATGTATTATTATGATCTTATACTTCAACAGTTTCAATTTAGTTTTAAAAAAATTCATTAAATTAAAAAAATAAAATTGGTTCATTTTGGTCTCTCTATCTACAAAATATCTATTATGGTCTCTCTACTCTTAACATTGATTCATTTTAGCTTATGTACTTTCAAATCATTTGTTTTAGTCCATGTACTTTTAAAAAGTGATCATTTTGATATTTGTTTGTGAAATTTTAATACGAATTATATACACACTAAAAATAATTTAAGATTATGACTATATTTAACCATCATGAATGGTTCATTAGTCCAAATGAATAGGAAAAAGTAGGAGGGATGAGTTCAAACTCCATTATATCCATCTATCTTAAAAATTAATTCTTATGTATTTGTCAGCATCAAATGTTGTAGGGTTGAACTAATCTTACTCACGAAGCAACTCTACCGTACCACTCTGTCATAATATATATTCTAAATTCTAAAGTGTGACAGCTCAGCATAATATTTATATTTAATCAGTTCTCATGCATTACTTGTTTATACTATTAATTAAGGATTTTTTTTTTTGGCCAAAGTGACTGTTAACTTGTTTATACGTTTGATTAATGCAATAAATATAAAGACACATATAATAGTACCGATTAATGCATTAATTAGAAATTATAGGACCAATTAAATATATACTAGTTTCGAGATTTTTGCCGTGCAGGATTTGCCTACTTTTTGTCTACTGAAATTTATTATAATGTTAGTGGAGAGAAATATAAGGTACTTAAACTCGTGCCACATGTGACAGATTTTTTATTCTCTTGATTTAACTCGAACTTTTTGTTTTGGGTTCTCAATGATTTTATTTATAACAGTGAGTGTGTGAGTTTATTGATGACTTATATTATATATTTTCATCTAAGATGTTCGTAAATAATTCACATAAAATTATAGGAGAGTTCATAAAAAAAAAAATTCCAGTTTGATTTATTATTATAGATGAATATTTATGAGAAAAATTAACCATATTTAACAAAGTTTCCACTTAAGGAGAGGCAGTTAAACACCCGTTCGGTAGAATGTTCTTACGGAAAAATCAGAAAATTATATATGTTAATATAATTTAGTCAATTCATTATTTCATTATTCAAATTTTATTTGAAACTTCAAAATTAAATAAACACAAGTTCAATCTTCAAAATAAAAAATGTATTTTGTCCTTGTTAATACCTATATATTTTCTAAATATATCTAAAATGTATTAATATTCGACCCATATTTTAACGTCAATAAAAGGTATTCTCTCAGTAATTAAATCTGAAATTTAGCCTTGTACTTTTACTAGTTTATGTAGTCTCTTCAAATTTTAAAATATTTTAATTACATAATATCTCTACGACTTTGTTATATGTCTATTTTAAAACTTTTTTTTGTTAATACCATATGGAACACCAACTTAATCAACATGTTGATTAAGTAAATTTTAATTTGAGTACACAAAATTATTAATAAATAAGTATATACATATCATGTTATTCTGTTGGTGATGTTAATAATAAATCCAAAAAGTAAATTAATTGAATTTTTATGAAGTTTTAATTTTATTATTATTTTTGGGTGCATGGTAAGGTCAGCAGTCACTTCACAAAACCACACTAATTTTTCCTGATTGAGAGAGAGAGAGAGTGACGCAGATGATGTATATAAAAATCGGGTGATAATTCATTTCGAAACAGAAGGAAAAATTAGGAAGAAGACATTTGTTGTTACATTACATAATTTGCATTGCTTTTGGATCCATATTCATAAATAAAACCATAGAGACGCAGCCCAAACGTCACCCACACATCTTTTTCAACGACTTATAAGGAAACAACACACAACCAACCTATTTAATTGACGTCACTAACATGAACATAGTTTAACGGTAATTGATATATATTTTTTTAAAGTTAAAACTCTCGTATCCTTGCATTTTTGCTGTTAGAGGAGATAAATAAAATTTGATAGCTCTTTGATTTCTTGAAAAACGTTAAAAAATGCATTTATTTTTACCTTTCTATTTTCTACTTATTAAAAATTTAATGGTGGTCAACATAATAGAGAGAGGTTACTCGTTAGCATCATTTCAAGAAATGAAAAATCTAACTTCTTACCCGATTTGAATTTTTTTTTAATGTTAAGTATATTCCAAGGAAAAAAACATCGACAAAAAAGTCAACCACACAATTATTAAAACAAACAAACAACAAAAGAAATACCTCATATCTCAAGACAAAGCATAACAACTAACTCCTGAAAATAAATCTAAGCAAACTCTATTAATGGTCAGCAACTAGATCGAACCCCTTCCTACCAAGTAGTAGAAACATTACTATGAACCATATATGTTGAACATTCGAGGTGTGTTGAACATTCGAGGTCGGACAAGAAGTAATTATCTCTCAATAAAATACAACTACATTTTCTTCAAATACAAGAAATAGAGGCAGTCCAAACAATCTTCGTACATGGTGAACTAGGCATTCCTGGAGGTCTGAACAAATTTCCTATCCCATAGGAAAGTACAATAATGATATGAATTCGCCAATGCCAATCATACTACATAACAAATTTGTTAAACATACGTTCTATTCAAATAGAAGATAGTCCTGATCGAGTTATAATCTCATCATTTCAAAGAACACAGGAAATTTTAGTCTAAAAGACGATCAATGATAGCAACCAACTCAATTTAGAGATATAATCAACCAATCAAATCAGATGTTGATAAGGCACTTGACAGCGCATTCAATACTCATTCGCGAATGGAGAATCCCAAGGATAATAATCTTCCTCGTCAAAACCATTATTACCAAAATCGCCACCCGCCGTCATCGATTCCACAAATGTTACTATGTCGTTTAGATACTGCAGTCTGTGGGTGAGCTCCGTCATCTGAGCCCGGAGGATGGAGTTCTCCGTCTCCAAGCTGACGCAAAGATTGGCGGCGGCGTTCATATTGGCCACGATCTGATTCTTGTGGTTCATCAGCCGAGTAATCTGCGCCGTCAGATCGTCCAGATGCTTCTGCTTCCGCAGCCGAGACCGGCGCGCCGATTCCCGATTCGACTGCATTCTCCTCCGCTTCCTCTCCGCCTCCTGATCCTCTTCCGACCCTGAGCTCCGGCGGCCGCCATTGCCCGACCCGGACGAACCCCCACTTGAAGAAGCCATGGATTAATTAAAACAGATCGCAACAAAAATTAACAATTGAAATTACAGAGAGAGGACGTACGTACGACCCAGGCACGATTATTAATTAATTGAAATTCTATGGTTGTGTGGTTAGATTAATGAATTAATTAATCACGAGAAGACATAGAACCAATAAAGGAAGACGACGGAGAAGGATTGAACTAAATGGGTCCGGCGGCGAAGGGTTGAGTTTATGATGAACCCAGAATCAGTGAAGATTGGAGACATGAGTACTGTGGAGCATCGGATCAGAAAGGGAAACTGAAGAAAGGGAAATTTGGGGAAGAAGAGAGAGGGGGGGTTGAGGAAGGCTTCTTAATGGCGGTTTTATACACCGCGACAGAGCGCTCCCATTAAATTAATTTAACAATAATAGATACTTATGGGTTTGATTACCTCTAAAAATTTGATAGAGAAATGTCTTTATTTATTTATATATATATATATATATATAATTTTAATATAAATTTATAAAAAGTAGCTGTCATTGATATGGTGAGCTCATAAAATGAATTGAAAAATTTAATATTAGTTATCACCAAGCCAAAGCCGATGATGTATTATATGCATAAAGTAAACCAAAATGCATGATGGTTGATGGTAGAATACAGAGCTATATAAAAAATTGATAAATCTGAATGTACTAGTATCTATATTTGTTTAGAACTGTGAGTTCCAATCTTTATACTGAAAAAAACTCGGGAAAAAAAAAGGGTTAAAAAGTAAAGTGGGGTGCAGTGGTTTGGTCCGAAGTAGAAGGGGAAGAATTTATAGAGTGGGAAATTGGCGCCCGTGATGGGTCGGCCATGTGCACGCCCAATTTAACACCATAACAATTTAATTGGTTTTCAACTTTTATTTTTGTTTTTTGTTTTGTTTTAAATGTGCCCTGGTTTATTTTAATTAATAGATTTTCCTTGTTATTTTTATTTTAATAAACACAAATCGTATTAGAAAGTAAATAGAAATATTGATAATCTAGAAATAAGTAGATGTCATGTACGGTGAAATTTACATTCATATTGGTAAAAAAACAATTTTACAATTATAATATTATAACAATAATATTTTTGCTGTTGAACGTGACTCCAATACTCACTTGCATTTTGTTGGTAATTCGAGTTGGATCCGCACTCATAACTTGACAAGTATGCTGAAAGAGAGGAACCATTGAAATAGAACTTCTCCATTGAGATATGGTTGTTATCTTTATATCCTTCGTCTTTTAGAAATTGTCTAGAGTTCTTTTAGAAGAAGTGTACCCATTTGCAAATAAGATATGTCTTTTAAGTGTATATTTTTGTGTAGGATACTTTTTGTTTTTACTTAATATAATAGAATCACATCTATCATAATTTTATAGCAAGTCAGACATATTTTTAATCCAATCTATATAAGTCAAAGTTTAATCATTGAGAGATTATAGTGTACACATTTTTAAAACAACATTTAATTAATTATGGATATTTTCTTTCTAATTATTTGTTATTTGTGTTTGTAGTTAATGGATTATTTTGATTTATATGAGAAAATAGATAAAATTATGGCTCATGCATATCCTAAAGATATGAATGTACAAGTCATCAAGCACCATTTTGATTATTTAAATTATGATGGCGTCATAGAAGAAAATGAAAAATCCATTCATAAAGGAACTCAACTGCAATTATTTTTGGATGCTTCCGATTTAAAAATAAGAGAGAAAAAAATAAAAGAAAAAAAAGAGAGGTTGCATGAGTCGAGTGGACTAAACTAATTTGAGATTTGATGACTTAATTGGATTAATGTATATTGTAATGGTTTTTATGGCTTTTTAGACTTTAATTAAAAAAGAAAAGAAAAAAAAGGTGGGTCCGGAAGTAAATGGCGAAAAGAAAAGGCTGTGATTGGTAGAAGGAGACAGCATCAGGCGTGATCTGAACCGTACATAATCGGCACATGCATCGTGTCAGGATTGTTTGTTTTCCATTTAACGCAAGATCAATTGACTTTGAGGCAAAAGTGCTTTGGCAGACCAAAAGTGCTTTGCCTACACATTTTGCCTCTTCTATTGGTTGGTTTCCTCCTACTTTCTTATAATAATTTGTTTGTATTAGTCTATTTTTATGAGAAAAATATCACTTAAATTTAATGTTTCTACCGCGAGAAAAAAAAAATTTATGCAAACAAATAAAAGTCAAGTGMTAGATCGGTTTCAAACAGAATTGCATAAGTACTTGAACGAAATGAATGTATATTTATAAGGATTCAGATAGTGATTCACGTTACAAGAAACAAAGTTGACATTGAGGTGTGGATTCTGAAGATAAGACAAAAAGTCCAAAGAATAGCTGTAGAAGAGAATTTCACTCTTGATTATGCCAGCTACGAGGCCTCTCTTACTACCATGGTTAAGTTTGGATCACTGACCTATACATAAGTCGGTGATCCGAAACCCACGAGACATTCTTTAATTCTTCTCCCAACATTTAATATTAATTATTTTTTTAAATATGACATGAATTGATTTTTTTATATGTATTATATTGCATTTGAATTTGATTTGAAATTATGATATTTTAGCAAAATTTTAAATTTTATGCTATATTTGAAAATATTTATTTATTTTAATGTTATTTATATAATGCCTCATTTTATTATTACCTCCTGACCAATTCGTTGAAATCTTTCCTAACTACTATTATATTTTTGACAAGTGAGAAAAACGGATATATATATATAGAGAGAAATTGAGAGAGATACCATAGATTTTTTCGATTGTTTTTAAATAAATAACTTTAGGATATAATATTCATAAACAAAAGTTGAGAGTTAAAGCAATAAGAATAGAACAATTAATCATAATTTGTTGTAAATTTATATATGTACATATAGATTTATAATTCTTCTTCTATAAAATTGAAGGACTATAGATAATCCTTTAAGAAAATCTTTCGCTCTATTATTCCAATAGCTCTTGTTAATAAAGAGTTTATGTGGACTAATGTAAGTATCGTTCCAATTTGTTATTAAAAATTTTTAAAATTTCATGAATTTTTTTTTATCAATTTAAGTTATCTAAATATATATAAATTTTTATGCAATAACGTAGCATAATAAGATAACTAATAATAAACCATTTTTTTCAAAGCATTTTCAAATTTTAAAGTCGAGACAGATAAAAAGTTGCAATTCCTTGAGTAATACTAAGTGCGACAAAAAAAATTAGACAAAATTTTAAAATCCATTAATGAGAAAAACATTAAAATTAATAAATTAAAAGTAAAATTTTTAAATTTTGAAATATGGCCCAAAAAAAAAAAGAACGAAAGAAGAAGAAAGATATTATTTTTTAAACATCATTTTTATTTTATTGCTTTTAATAGAATTTTCAAATAATTTATCTTCTCAATTATTAGGGTGATCAATGGTCAGCCATTGTCCATTTGATGTTTGAAACTTACCTTTTCCTAATTTGCGCTGATGAGAGATGTGAGAGACTGCATAAAGCTGAGAGAAGAAGAGGCGAGAGGATTTTTTATTATTATTTTTATTTTATTTACTTTTCTACAATAGGTCTCTTTACTTTTCTTCCGCAGGTCCAAGAGAACCTAAAGGCTATAAGATCCAACGATCATCGAGTGTTGCATCTTTAAAATTGAACCACGATTCGAATTTTCGACTACCCGTATGCACTCTTATTTGGCATTACCATATACCAATTGTGCCAAATAAATAAATAATGTGTAGGGGCAGAAGTACACTGAAAATTAGGGGGCAATTGCACCTGAAATTTATAAAATATAAAACTTATATAGATAAGGATTTAAATTCCTAAAAGTTTTCTTCTTGATCTGTGTTACCCTTTTGCTGATCTAACTTGGCTTTATAAAATTTGTTTCCTACCGTACGAAATATTGCAGCTCCATCAATGAAAAGAGTAGAGAGAATATTGTAATTAATAATTTGGAGTTTTGAAATTGTTATTTCCCCAATAAGAAACTTTGATACAATTGGAAAACCACTCACTCTTCACTCTCATTTGATTCCACTCATCAACTGTGAACTGTCATTCCCCAGAATCATCTTCTTTCTTATCCACTAATACTCCTTTTCCCATTTTTTTTTTCTATTCCATTTGGGAGTTTGCTATAAAACCAGAAAGGTTTAAATGAGTAGCTTTAAAATATATATATAATATAAAATATGACTTTTATTTTTTTAAATCAATTTTCAAACTCAGACGTTTATTTTACAACTTAAATATTTTACCATTATTTATGTTTGAAACATTCTTAAAATTGTATGAAATTTAAGAACAACAAAAATAAGTTTATTGTTTCTTCTTTCCATTTTCAATTTATTTAAAAACATAAATAAAAATATCGTTTATCATTATTGAATCTATGAGTGTTGAAACCATGCAATTATGTTTTTCAAAGAAGAGGAAACATAAACGAAACAAGAACTTACTAAATGAACTCTTAAATTCTCCACCTTCGTAATTGTCATGATGTATTATAAAAAAAAAAAATCAAATACTATTATGAAAGTTGGTGGCCGTGTGTGAATTCTTTCAAGGCAAGGGGTCTGATCGGCATTTTTGTTTAACCAATTGAAGTTCCTTTGTTTCGCCAACAAAGAAGTCATCTTTCACGATTTTTCACTCCTTCTTTGCCGAGCCACCTCGCATTTTTATACTTGAATTTTCTATTTCTTTAATATTCTTAACATTTTAGAATAATTTCCTTTCCTAATTAGCTATAGAAAATGACCTTTTTTTTATCATTGATTTTAATTGATATATTATTCCACAATCAAATTGCCAATATTTATAAATTATAGTAATTGATTCCAATTAAATTGCAATTCAATCCTTTTTTTTAACATCAGCATATTATTATCATTAAGACTTTTAAATATTTTCGGTCAATTGAAAGTTGTGAATCTTCATCTTTATTATTGTAATATTATATTCTTTAAAAAAATAATCACGCTTACAACTTTATATTTAGGTTTGCTATTTCTTTAATTTTAAACTTCAATAAATTCATTTGTGTAGCAAACAATTCTTATTAACCGCATTTTTAATTTACTCAATTCATCACCCTCTAAATCCCTTTCCTTTCTTTTTCTTAAATAAAATAATTTTGCATTGAAACTCGATAACTTTAGAACCTTATTAAAATGCAAATATCCCATTAAAAGTTATATTAAAGCAAAACATCATTTAGTAATTTATGAAAAAATTTATATTATAATCTTGTTGGGATAACGCATGCTGTTTTTATAATTTATCCGAAAAACTGGAGACCTTTTTTTGGTTAGCTTTTGGTTAGTCGAGAACG